CAAACCGAACCAAATGGTACCTGAATGTTCATCCCTAATCAAATGTAAAAAAGATTATGTATAGTAAAATACGTATTTAAATACAACATATTTTAAAAAAGCTCACTCTGCGCATGGTGCGGATTATCATCTTTAGTGGAATAGTGGGAACAAAAAACAATAAAAAGGAGGGGCAGAGTTGTGGAAGTCTATTTACTTCAATGTTTGACTTAATTTTTAAGAACCAAACTTCTCTTCAGCCCTGTGGTGATTCTATAATTCACCTCAATCTTTCACACCAATCAATTTACCACATAGGATTAATTGAAAAATATATTAAAATGACAAAGAAAAAAAGAAAAGTAGCTAAAAAGAAATAAAAGGAAGATTGCCTATGTTAATGGTTAATGCCGTCGGTTTATTCTTCGTTACCCACATAGCCAAGAGGAGAAGACAGAGGAATAGAATCGTGATCTCCATCAGCTTCTTCTTCTTCTTCTTTACCCATCGTTACCCACATAGAAAATATGAATGAAGTTTTGTTACCCATCATTAGTTATCGGATAGGAATGAAGTTTTAACGGTCCGACCGCCCACGGTTAATGGGCCACCCACGTTCGCTTTCTCGGCCCATGGGCCCCATCCCGTTCCAACAGCTGGTCCGTTAATTTTCCAAGTCTTTAGAGTCATGTTTACTGACCATGCAATCACCACATGACCTTTCCCCGTGCTTTGGTCTCACTTACACGGTATCGCAAATCACTTCCAGGTAGGTCACCCATCCTTAGACTACTCCAGCTCAAAAACGCTTAACTTTGGAGTTCTCTCTGGATTTTCTCCCGAAAATGTAAGTGTACTTTGGTGAAATAGGTAGCCAAATCAATCCTCTTAAGGTTTTCCATAAATCACAACTTGAGATGTTACAATTCACCTTCCCTCAAAGAACGCAACGTCCTCATTGCGCCCCCACCAGTTCTGATACCACTTGTAACGCCCCGACCGCCCACGGCTAATGGGCCACCCACGTCCGCTCTCTCGGCCCGTGGACCCCATCTCGTTCCAACGCTGGTCCGTTAATTTTCCAAGTCTCCGGAGTCATGTTTACTGACCCTGTAATCACCACATGACCTTTCCCCGTGCTTTGGCCTCACTTACACGGTATCGCAAATCACTTCTTGACAGGTCACCCATCCTTAGAATACTCCATCTCAAGCACGCTTAACTCTGGAGTTTTCTCTGGGTGTGCTCGCGAAAAGGTAAGTGTATTTTGGTGACATAGATAGCCAAATCAATCCTCTTAAGCTTGTCCATATATCACAACTCGGGATGTTACAGAAGTTTTGTTATTTCAGATAGGAATGAAGTTTCGTTACCCATCGTTAGCCACAGAGAAGATCAGTTTGTGTATGTAAAAGCAGAGCCACTGGAGATGAAGAAGATGGTAAGGGATTCATCCTCTCTTTTTCCTATCAAAGGTTCATCCTTTTATGTTTTATCATAGCCCTGTCTCTTTTTTGTGTTGGTCAAAGCTCTGTCTCTAAACACGCTTCTCATAAACTGCTATATACAGCGTTTATGTATGTTCTTCTCAAACACCTTCTCATATAATAATAATAATACTCCATAATGCAATTTTAGGGACTAGATTTTTTGATCAATCTTTTCTAAACTTCAGATGCAGAGAGAAACAATGAAAGAAACTCTATGACTTCAAGCTGTGAAAAGGAAATTGACGGCAATGAACATATAGGTTGCAGAAGCTAGTGTCACACCTGGTTCATGCAAAGAGCTACTTCTGTCAATACACTCTCAACGTAAGAATCCTTTTCTTAAAGATTAGTGGTTTGTTTTACTTTGAAAAAAAGAGTTTCATATTGATTTTGTTTTATCTTTTGGTTTCAGGCTTCACTTTCAGGCTTTAGAGTTGTTCTCGAAGCATTTGAAAGTTAAGGAACACAGTGTTGTATTCTTACGAGGCTTTAGAGAAGTGAAGTCACATACAACGACGTATGTGAGCTTATGAATCTGCTGATAGGTTTTATTATACCTGCAATGTGATCTTCTTGTTTTGATTCTTTCGTGTGAATGAATGTGTCTTACTTTCTGTGAAACTTTGGGATATGAGAAAAAATATGAAATCTCTAAGGCTAATGCTCTGCAGATCCCATTATGTACCCATCATTATTTTTTTGTAGCTTAAAAGCTTAATGCTTATATTCACGTTATTTATTTCTTTATCTGGCTATTTCATGTTTAAGAGTCTGAAGAATGATGAACAAATATCGATAATCCATAGGCATATGCAATGCTGAACCTAATGCTCAATTGTGGTTCCTGCTCTAATATTCCATGTTTGTTACTATATCGTTTTCATAGACAATTCTTAAGAGTATGATAGTGATTCCATGAAAGAGAGGAACAAAATCAATCTAAATTCTTGGACAATTTTATATTTTCAAAGATAATAATAAGTAAATAATAAAAAATAAAAAGCTAGAAACACCATAAGTAAGAAAGAAAATAAAACATATGCTAGAAACTAGAAGTAATCAAGAAAATAAAACATAACTATTGTATCCTTTCACATTTAAAATAACATAGTTTTACGATGATCCAGCATAACTCTAATCAAATCCCTACAAAATATGAAATATAAAATAATTAAAAAATAACAAATAACTCAAATATAAACAATATAGAGATGAATTATTAAACTGGAGAAGCTGTGAGAAAGAAGACTCATTATGTAAAGTTGGAGTAATGGCAGCAACAGATAACTGGGTATCAGGAGAAAGAGTTGAGTCCTTATATATATAATATATCTGAAATGACAACTTCTTCTTTGCTGTAGCATTACTGGAAGATTTTGATATACCACGATTTTTTCATTTCAAGTACACTCAAATATCGACCATAGCGTCCAACTTTTTGGTTCTTTGGCCGTCCATGTGGATTTTTTCTTTTTATTCCACGTGCATTTAAAACTTCTTCTTCCTCAAGTTCAAAATCTGAAGCACGGAACATCCATTTATTAGCTTTCACAAGTTCCTTTTTTGTTTCCACCAATTTTTCGAGCAACTGAAAGGCAGCTTCACCAGCACACAACTTCAGTTTTAGATGTTCAGCAGCAGTATATGCAATCTCACGGAAAGTATGACATAAATGACTATATTGCTTTCCGATTGATTCCTTCACTGTCTCATTAGATGTTGCTGAGTGATAAAAAGATAAGGTTTGTGCTTTAGCCTCTTTACTCATCGATTCAAAATGTAGGTAGGTGGAATTTTCCTAACATACTTCTTAGCCAACACTTTTAACGCATGACGACATAAGATTCCAGCAAAAGAGAACTTCATACAACTACAGTTTATCGTTTCGTTTGCAGAAACATAGTTAACCAAATGATTTTTTCAAACACCATGAAAAGGTACATTGTATTCAGCACTTACCGTCTCAGACTTATTGACCCTTTTGGCAACATAATCACCGATAGCTATGTATTCCTTCTAAAACAAGGTAAACACTTCTGGTGTATACACGTCCACTGCATGTTGCAACATTTCTACAGGAGACGATAATACTGGTGAGGTAGCATCATACCAAAGTCATCAGTTAATTTTTTAAATCGCCGATCATCCAAACACGCTCTCATAGTGTGTAAAGAAGCGCAACAAGTTATAACTGGACTTCAAGTATTTTTTTTTCAAAATATTATTCATACTTTCACTACGATGTGTGCTCAGCATATCAGCTGTAAAAGTTTGACGATCATACATCCTTGCCCATTTTTCTCTCAACTCAAACAAATCCTTCAAACATTTATTCTCTATCAATCCATGCTTCTCAAGCAATCCACTCCATGCAGATAACCACTCTACTTCATTCTCATGGTCATATAAACATTTTCCAAAGTCTGTGGCAAACTGGTCTGGTCCATGAAATACACGCCCCAACCTCTTCGCAGCATTTTGGTAAATATGTCAAACACATAACTTATGTTTTGTTCCAGGGAACACTTTCCCGATTGCATTTGCCATTGCTGCACATTGGTCTGTAAGAATTGTCTGTGGTTGTTTTCCAGACATTTCTCCAAGAAAAGTCTAAAAAAGCCACTTAAAAGACTCTGTGGTTTCATCATATAAGAGAGCAGCGCCAAACACAATAGTTTTCTTATGATGATTGACCCCCAAAAATGGAGCAAACGGTCTATCATACTCATTGGTCTTGTAAGTTGTATCAAAGCAAACAACATCTCCAAAAAGACTTTAATCTCTAATTGACCGATTATCTGTCCGGAAGATATTAGTAATTATATCTTCCTCATCAAGTTGCAATGAGTAAAAAAAAAGATGCCTTATCCTCTTTCTTTTTTTGAAAGTACTCCAGAACCGCTCCAGCATCTCCCTTTTTCCATGCTGCCATTCGCTTACGGTATATGTAATTGTGCAAGTCTTTATCCATAAAACCCAGATTTGCTTACCCCCCAACTTCTCTGCTCATCATTTCAATTGTTGCCTTGGCTGAAATTCCTCACATATCAGCATCATCAACATTTTTTTTTTTGAGAGATAGACATTGCTCGGTTACTCTTCAGCAAATGCTTTATAGGTGTCCTCACTACATCATGGTTATGATTCGGCTCAAAATTCACAATCTTATATCTTCTGTTACTCTGAAGGTAGCAAGACATGCAAGCTTTACAACCACACCTTGTGGTTGGTCATGAATATGATTGCTTGAGCTTAGGTTCTTGTCTAAACCGCTCTTTTACGCCTACATAAACCATCCTTACTAGCTTATTGTTTCTTCTTGAAGTCCGTTGTTTCCTTACGTTGAAGCCATGATTGCCTCCATACTTCTTATAAACTTTATATGCAGACTCATCAGAACTAAACTCCATTCCATTGCAGATTTCATATTTCTTTTGATTTTCAAATTTTGCTTCTAAAGAATCAACATCTTCAATCTGAAGAATTTTTTTTATTGTTTCCTTTGTATTCTTCTTCACCAAAATCACTAACTGAAGCATCTTCATTGCTAACTGAAGCATCTTCATCACTGAATGTAGCATTTTTTTCCTCGGCTAAAAACTCATCAGAATTAAGATTTAACAATCTGAGTTCACTTGAAACTTGTAAACTCGATTCATCCTGACTAGTGGGAACAATTTCTTGATCACTTAAATGGCTATTCTCCATTGCACCTATATAGCAAAATACAAATACCAATTAAAAATTACTCTAGAAAACATAAAATAATTAGACCTTATTTTAATAGAGATTCTATATAATTGATACTCTTAATTTAAAAGAGGATAAAAAAGTAACGCCACATACCTTTAATGAAGAATTGATGATCTCTCTGTGGGTAAAGGGTAACTAACGAAGAAGAAGAAAGCCGGCGGCGTTAATAGGTATGGGTCTTCCTTTTATTTCTTTTTAGCTATTTTCCTATTTTTGTAATTTTAATATATATTTTCAATTAATCGTATGTGGCAAATTGATTGGTGTGAAAGATTGAGGTGAATTATAGAATTCACCACAGGGGGTGAAGGGAATTTTTTTTCAATTTTTAATGTTTCTGCACTACAAGGTCTAAGTTTCGAGTCTCTTTACTCTTGTGGTCTTAAACTGCAGGGCAGGTTCAGTCATTTTAAACACATATCAGCAGCATCAGCAATACTGGAGGGATTTAATGAATTGGAATCTGAATGCTAAAGTGTTGATGATTAACATGCTAAGACAAGAAGGTGATATGTTGAGACAGTTAATCCAACGCTTCAGTGCCACCAAGTCGTACAGAGGGGTCACACAAAATCATTGAAGGAAATGAGTTGCGGAGAGCCGCAAGGCAAGAAAGAGAACATGTATCTGGCTCGGGACGATACAACACATTAAGCCACCATGGAATATGATCGGGAGGCCTTTCAAGTCGAGGGGGAGACCGCAAGGCTCTGTTTAGTGCAACTCTTTCCGAATAAGCAAGAGTCAACTCCGGGGCATTAGAAACAGTCTGAAACGCCGTCTGCTGAGGTAAGCGAAAGAGGAGATGACGATTTATGTGTGATAGTGGGAGGGATTAGTGTAAGACCGGGTGGGATGATGCATGTGTTGGAACTGTTTTTTTTGACAAATTGGTATGACCAATATTTTGGATGGAATTGTTGAATTCCTTGTTATAGTACTATGATATAGTATTATCATATGTCAAAAAAGTGAGAAATAAAAATCTAGTATGAGATTATTTGTAAAATATCTATTAGAAATATGAGGTTTAAATCCTCTGTTTATTTAAAGTGGAAAGAATGTTTTAAGAAAATATATTTGTACTAGACATAAATTTCATGGTTTGGAATTTAATATATGGTTCTGTAAATTAAAAGGGAAATTAGACTTGTTGGTCTAAATATTTATTCTGAACTTTGTGGTTAACAAAGTTAAAAATATATAATGAGAAAATATATTTTCTAATCATAATGGTATGGTCAACGTGAATTAGTGGGGGAAGTTAATACAAAATTGGTTCTGATTTTTTAACCTACAACTAAATGCATTTCATATAATTATGATGAGAATATCCACTTTCATTTCAAATGTGTAAGGTTTGATTTGTGTCAAACGACAGTTTGGGCAAGGGCTATATAAATCCATGCTCTTCTCATTCTACAAGACACATCCAAGAAAACAAAACAATAATTTCTTGCTTATTTTTTTTTTTTGTGTCTAAGAGTATAACATAGTTTTTAGGGTCAACATGCTTTGATTCTCAAATGATGTGAGATCGAAGATATAAGCAGTTGTATCCAGAGATTCTTAAACGTATCAAACCGGCACACTACGCACGTTTAAAAGGTTAAGGAAAGAGATCTTAATCTCGAGTCTGCTTCAGTTCATTTCTTTATCAACTACGGTATATTATTGTATTTTAATTCATACTATTTGTAATTTTTGCTTTACATATCAAATTTGCCTTCTCTCTACATACAACATGTTCAATGCAATTCCAGAAGAGTGGGACCAGCAAGCCCTCTCTAGGATGGTCACCACTTTCCCCTTTCATATAATCTCAATTACCACAATGAGAAGAAAGATGGTGAACAAAAACAACCCCAAAAAAACTAAACTGTGAAAGATAAATTTTCGAAACTAGTTTGCACCTTCATTTTGTCAGTACATTTCTCACATCATACATAGACACTTGAGTAGTTGTATGCATGATTTGTGTTTTGGATGGGAGACAGTTTTTAGTCATGTTCCTCCATAACTCTCACATTCCATTTTGGTTGATCGGTAATTATGAGGATCTAATGGGAAAAGCCATCACTATATATGTATAAGCTTTGTACTTTTCTTTTAACGTACTGTCTTCGATTATATTAACTTATATATCAATAAGTCAATATGATCCTAAAGAGTAAATCATCTTACTTTTACCATAAAAAAATATAAAATAAGGTGAAATTAGAAACCATTTCTGAATAAGATGAACGAGAAGAAACGGAATGAGAAAAAGTGAACCATAAGTAGTTATATTGTAACCCTCTTTGTGAGGAGACACCCTTTCTTCAGTAGTTACGAGGCTATTCTGCTGAGTTCCTTAGAGAGAGTTGTCTCGCGCTAGTGACTCGAGTGGAGTCGTAACAAGGTAGCTGTACTGGAAGGTGTGGCTGGATAACCTCCGTTTGAGGGAGAACTAATTCTTCTTGGGTATTTAACGAATTTTGGGCATGGTTTTTCTTGGTCAGGGACGAGGTGGTACTTGTGATATTTTGGCTTGCGATGCATTTCACTTGGCAGTTTTTTTGGATGTTAAATACTATTGAATGAATATTTTTATTGGCATTGTAAACACATCACATTATAGTGGGAAGTGAATCACTCCTGAAAATGAATCTATTGAATCTCTCCCAATTGGTTGGACCATGGGTGCGATGATTTACTTCACTAGCGAAGTCTTTAGTTAGAATCCAGGATGACTCAACTGCACAAAGGAAAATAATATAAAAGGATATCAAGATTCATGAATCTTTAGGGTCAGTAGATGTCGTGGTTAAGAACGTGACCCTCGCGACAACTACAATAGGAGCTCAAGTGAGACGGACACGAAGGAGTTCGTCTTGACCCTCGATCACTCTAACTTCACAGATATCATCAGCAAGTACGACCATAAATAATCAAATATGAAAACATATGCATAACTGTAATGTAGTATTTGTAGCAAAAAAAAAAGAAATTTGTCCACTGAACCTCTGTGATTTTCCGACCACTTTTCATCCTTCTATGCAATACAATTTTGTAACACAAAAATGTAATGTAATCAATTCATTATTTATTTCAATTTTATTAATCCTCTCAGCGTAATAAATACAAGCCGCCTGAATAGTGTATGAACTGCAAATGCAATCATGAGAGTTATTTTTCTTTGGTTCTGCATATTAGAGAATGAATGTGCAATCAATGCAGATAGGACTGCATGACGTTTTATTCTGCTTTACTTCTATTTTTAGCTTTGAATGCAAAGTAGTATACATTATGAACCCTTCAGAAACAATTATGAAACATTTTGAACCCTTCAAAAATAATTATACATAATGTTTCATAATTGTTTCTGACGTGGTCATAATTGTTTCTAAAGGGTTCATAATGTTTCTTAAGGGTTCAGAATGTTTCGTAATTATTTCTGAAGGGGTCAGAAAGTTTCATAATTGTTTTTTAATGGTGCAAAGTTGTTTATGAAGGGGTTATAATTGTTTCTAAGGGTTCAAAATGTTCCATATAAGTTCTAAAAGGTTCATAATTGTTTCTAAAGGGGTTCATAATGCTTCTGAAGGGTTCATAATTGTTTCTGAACGTAAGACATATTTCTGAATTGTTCATAATTGATTGTCCATCGTAATTACGCTATTGTTCACCAATCAAGTAGAAAATGTATTCAACTCATTTACTCTGTATTTTGATTTTATCTTTCCTCCCTCCTTTGTCAGAGGTAAAAGTTGCAACTTGTTTCCTCTTCATCTCTGTAAATCAACTAAAAGAGGTCCTTCCTATTTCCAAAAGCTCAATTTCATCTATAAACCAGCATATCAGTCTCCTCTGTCTGTCTCAAATGGATGATCACTTTAAGAGACGATTTCTCTGGCTTCTGTTGATTATACATTTAACTTCTCCAGTATTATCCATGACCCTGACAACAGAACTCTCATTGAGAAGAAATGGCGGTTGTTCAGAGATAAAGACAGAGATGATTAAAGTTACAATTTTCAATCTTGAAAGAGGACTCATGTATAAATAAATAAATAAAATTATGCAAATAAAACATTTCAGGTATAAAAAAAATAAGATATGAAAAAGAAGAAAGTGAAATTTATTCTTCTTAGATATAGTTATTGGAAAAAAAATTATATATAGAAAATTGTAAGTAACTGATTTAGTTGGAAATCATGGAAGAAGTAAGAGAAAAATGTTATAATAAAACAAGAGGTCTCATTGTGTTAATAAAACATAAAATTGTCTTTCAATGTAATTCTTTCTACTTTTTATGGGTACTTAGCAATATACTAACAATATAACTGAACTTAATAATTAATCTTTGAAAAAAGGTAGACTAATAGAAATAAGACAAGTTGAACTAAAATCTTTCAATTGTCAAACAATGTTTCTATGAAAACGTAGGTATCTAATTTTTTCTCTCTTTCATCTTCATTCCTTTAGTTTCATTAAAATAATCATGAGGTATGCAGTGAGAATTTACCACTAATGATGGCTTAAGTTATACATGTCCAGGAAAATGAGATTGTTCGACTGTCTGTTGATCACATACTATATCTATACATGTTTTGCTGAAATTCAAGGACAATCACCAAGATCCATGAGTAATTTTAATTAAAAATATTTATTTTAATCATTTATTTTTAAAATAATATAAAATATGTTTTATATAATTAATTATATAGTCTACACATATATATATAATTAATTTATATTAATATTTTATTTTATTATATTTTTAAGAAGTTTTTTACAAGAATTACAGATTGACGGATATCCTTACTTTAAGTTAGACTAACAGGCATCCGTCTTGTATAAAAAATAATAATCAGCACCCACAACCGTAATTCAAATATTTTGAAAATAATCAACCCCGACAACGGGTTAAATGGGACAAGATCCACATATATTGACTCAAATTCTCCGGTAAATGGAC